GGTGCGTAATGAGGTCAGCGACTGTGGGAAAGGCAGCCAGGTCAGGGGAAGAGGAAGGTAGCATGAGGCGGCTTAGTGCAGCAGTGGCAGGGGAGGAGTAGCGCGCAACTACAGCGTCGTACAAGGTCTGAGCACTCTTGTACTGACTAAAGTGCGCTGCGCACAGCGGTAGGCAGGTGGCGCACGCACAGCAAGACGTTTGCAGCAGCATCGCGTGTGGCCCACTGGGAGCGAAGAGTGGGGTCAGCATCAGCAGCAGGGGCTAGGGACAGCGCCAGAGGTGAGGTCAAAGAGAGAAAGACGTCTACCCTATCGCACTATAAGAACAGCTGCAGGTCGTCGACCCAGACCTCAAAGTCAATGGCGCGACCCTCAGCGTCAAAGCTAGGACACTAGGAGTAGCCATGACAGCAGTCGACGATCTCACCAGACAGGACGGGTCGGGCAGCTCAGCAGCACAGCAAAACGGCAACACTGCTGCTCGGCTGGTCCAGCAGCAACAGCAGCTCCGCGGGACACCAGCGGCTCGGCTCCTTAGGTGACTTGGGCGGCTCGGGCGGCGCAGGCGGCTCGAGCGGCTCGGGCATCTCGGGCGGCTCGGGCACTCAGCGACACAGGCGGCTCGGGCGGCTCGCTCCTCAGCGGCACAGGCGGCTCGGGCGGCTCGGGTGGCGCAGGTGGCACGGGCGGCTCGGGCGGCTGGGTGTCACAGCGGCGTACGGGCGGCGTGGGGCCGGGACGGTGGCGTGCGGCCGGGACGGGTGGCGCACGGGCGGTGTGGGGCCGGGACGGCGGCGCACGGCTGGGACGGGTGGCGCACGGGCGGCGTGGGGCCGGGACAGCGGCGCGCGGCTGGGACGGGTGGTGCACGGGCGGCTGGGAGCGGGGCCGGGACAGGCGACGCACTGTCGGCTTGGGGCCGGGACGGCGGCGAGGGGCCAGGACGGGCAGCGCACGGGCGACGAGGGGCTGGGACGGCTGTGCGCGGCCGGGACGGGTGTCGCGCGTGTGGCGTGGGGCCGGGACGGGCGGCGCACTGGCGTCGACGGGCCGGGGCAGCGGCGCGCGGCCGAGATGGGCGGCGCAAAGGCGGCGTGGGGCCGGGACGGGCGGCGCACAGGCGTCTGGGGGCCGGGACGGGCGGCGCGCGGGCGTCTAGGGGCCGGGACGGGCGGCGCGCGAGCGTCTAGGGGCCGGGACGGGCGGCGCGCGGGCGTCTAAGGGCGGCGCGTGCGTCTAAGGGCGGCGCGGGCGTCTAAGGGCGGCGCGTGGCGTCTAAGGGCGGGCGTCTAAGGGCGTCCTAGGGGCCGATAGGACAGGTCGACAAAGTGAGAGAGAGGGCCCGGAGCGCGACTCAGGGCGAGCGCGCTTCGGGCAGGAAAAAAAGAATATCGAAGTGGTGGGCCCTAAGCACAGTTCCCACGGGGGAACCTGCTCGATACCATGAGAACACTAGAACGAGAATGAATGAACTATGAATGAAGTGAGTACAAATAGGAAACCCTGATTGGGTTGTACGCCCCTATGGATACCCCACTATAGCCATACACAACAGCATAAGCTATAATGTTCTAAACAGCGGCGGGGGGAGGGGCGCAGTGCGGTAGGGGAAGAGACGGTAGTAAGGCACCGACTCGTCAAAGGTGACGTCCTCAGAGGACAGACACACGGCGCGAGGATGGGGGTGGTAAAACTGCCAACCAGTCACGTCAGGGGGGGAGCCAAGGAAGACGCAGGGAAACAGCATGAGGGGACAGCTTGTCCGCCAGACAAGTCGCGTACAAAACGCTCCGAGATCCCCAGACCCAAAACGCTAGACGCATCGCCAACCTTCCCCGTGCACCGCAAAGGTGGGGTATGGTCCTCTTGGCAAGGAGACCCGGGCTGAAGGTGGAGCTGATGCGCTGCGTACTGAACCGCAAACGGCCACAGAAAATGGGGACCAAGCCGCATGGATTCATGGACGTACGAGCGACGTCCATGACCATGCCAATGCGGCGCTCAGCAATCCCATTTTGCTTGTGGAGAGGCCGGAAGCGTGAAGGTCTGGGCGGATGCCGTTGTGCACGACAGAAGGCTCCCAGACGGGCAGATGGAAACTCTCCGCCTCTGTCAGAGTGCAGACGCAATTAGGAAAGTCCAAGCCGAAACTCTCTCTGAGCCGGAGACGAGTTGCGCGGATCCAGTCGATTCAACACCTCAGTGACGTCACCCTTGCTGCGCAAGGGAACACCGTGGTGTAACGCGAGTAGTCGTCAACCACCAACAGGAAGTAACGCTCGTGACCCTGGCCACGGACACGGGCGGGGCCCCACACGTCCATCTGAAGAGTCTGCAAGGGAGCCTCTGTCGAAGGAAACTCGGAGGAGTGAGGGGCAGCGCGCTGTCGCCCCTCGACGCAAGGGACGCAGGTAGGGGCAGGCCCCCGACATAGGGGAGGGAGGGACCGGGGGAGACCAGAGACAAGGACACGTGAGGCCATGCCTCGGAGACGAGGCAGGGAGGGGTAACCAAGGCGGTGGTGCCAAAGGAGAGTCTGGTGGGACAAGAGACGACACGAGCAAGGGCGCAGACTCAGGGCCAGACCTGGACGCTGCAGCATAACACCTGACTCGACGCAGCTACCTGGCCAGACTCAGCAACCGGAGGAGACTCAGTAGTCAGTGTGTACAGGCTCGACCCCGGCTAATGGGTAAAACGTGGCCAAGTGTCGGCCCGTCCGAGCACAACGTACACTGGGTCACTCGCTGACTCGCAGGCGTGAACTGGTCAACCCCCCTATCCTGTAGATCAGCTCCACTCACCAAGTTCGTAGAGAACGAGGGGAGGTAGAGATTCTAACAGGGTGCCAGAGGGGGCTGCCGGACACGGTAAGACAGTGGAGAAGCCAGCAAGGATAGGACCCCCAGAGGGGTCCGCCAGGGAGACCGCAACCGGCCGACTAAGCGGCGTAAGCGTGGTGCGGTCTCGAAAGAAGGAGCGGGAAGCACCCGAGTCAAGGGTGAAGGTGTGCAAGGCCTGAGCCGGCGTGGTACCTGAGAGAGCAGACTCACCAGCACCTGGGGCAGCAGACGCACTAGCACCTAGAGCAGCAGGCCTCACCAGCACCTGGGGCAGCAGACGCACTAGCACCTAGAGCAGCAGCCTCACCAGCACCTAGAGCAGCAGCCCCAATGCCCGGGTCAGGCGGAACACACAGGTAACAGTCACCCTCATCACTAGTAGACACAGCATACATGGCAGAAAGAATAGCATCAATAGTCAATACCAAAGATAGCAACCCCCGCCCTAGACAGCTCTCCCCAGCGAGGGATCTCAGTGGCGTAAGGGAACTGGTGACGCCACGCGTCCGGCAGGCGGCCGAAGCAGCGCTGGGTGGAGTGCGTGCCCCCGCACTGCTCACCAGCGCGGTCCGCCGGTACGGAGGACGTAGGTGCAGGGACCAGTACCCCCCACCCCGCTGACACCCAGCGTACCACTCACGAAGCTGCTGAGGGGACAAGGTCTCACGACTGCGCTGCTGCTGCTGGCGGCGGACCACCACCGGAGCCACTCCTTTGTGCAGAGCCGCGACCAGCTCCATTGCTGCCTCCGCCGCCTCCGCCACCTCCGCCGCCTCCGCCACCTCCGCCTCCTCCGCTCCCTCCGCCACAGCTGCCGCCTCCTCCGCCTCCACTGCTGCCACCGACAACCTCCACCCCCGCCACCACTCCCACCACCACCCCCACCCCCCTCCACTTCCTCCACCACAACCTCCACCGCCCCCGGCCAGCCCCTCCAACGACCTTGCCCTAGACGCAAGCGCCGACCGACCTCGAAGCCAATGAGGTCGGCCGCAGCAGCAGAAGCAACAGAGGGCAAGAGGTGTTGAGTTGAGAGAGGAATGGAATGACTAAGGAAAGATTGGGTACAAATACAACCCTAGAAACCTGTACCCCAATATGTGCTACCCCAGTATAGCCTACAGCAACTATGTCATATAAATCTGACACACCCCCATAGGCAAAGTGGGGGAGAACAAGGGGTCACAAGACCAGTCAAGCAAAGCAAAGCAAAGCTCAGGGTGGATCACAAGTCACCACACAGTCCAAGCACAAGGTCAAGGCCACAAGGCCAGTTCACATGCAATAGAGCATATATATATAACAGTGCTAAACAAGCAAGAGCAAGGATATATATATGCAGCAGTACAAGCAAGGTCAAGAGGTAAGGTAAGTGGAGGCCCAGTGGGCACAAGACCTAGCAGAGTGCAAAAGCGCTGATGGTCACGAGGCGGAAGTGCCTTGGTGAACACATCAGCAGTGTTGGCCTCAGTGGCCACGAAACGCAGGCGAAGCTGACCACGCTGCTGCAGCTCTCGAGCAAGGAAGTAGCGCAGAGCAATGTGCTTCGTCCTGTGCTCCAGTCTGTGCTCCTGACACAAGGCAATGGTTGCCTTGTTGTCGACGTACAGCACTGGAGGAGAACGAGGCCGCTCTCCAAGGTCAGTCAGCAGGTAGGTGAGCCAGCGAAGCTCCTGGGCAGCCATGGCCGTGGCGTAGATCTCAGCCTCACAACTGGAGCTGAGAACCGAAGAAGAGCGAGTAGAGCGCCAAGAGACAGAGTCAGAGCCAAGACTGAAGGTGTAACCCTGAGACGACCTCTGAGTAGCCTGGTCGTCAGCCCAAGAAGCGTCTGAGTGCCCAGTGAGCACAGGCCGCTCATGCCCTCCAAGCACTAGCCCCATGCCCGACGTACTGCACAAGTAGCGCAACACCCTCTTAGCTGCATCCATGTGCTCCTTCCGGTGACGGCCGGGAGCGACATAGCGTGCTAAGATGCTGAGAGGGTATGCGAGGTCAGGTCGAGTGCAGGTCATCAGGTACATGAGGCAGCCCACAAGCTCTGGATACGGACCACTCGACTCTACGGACTCATCCGAAGGCAGAGCTGAGAGCGAGTGTCCCGTAGGCAGAGGAGTGAACTGAGGCGAGGAGTACGTGAAGCCGAACCGCTGAAGGACCTGCTGCACCATGTGTGACTGAGGTCAGGGTAATGGTGCGGCGTGCTCTGTCCCGGGTGATCCGCAAGCCAAGATAGCTTGTCAGTTCACCCAGGTCTGTGCACGTGTGTCTCTTCTTGCAGCTCGGACTTCACGTGGGGCGAGTGCGGCAGTGTCCGCAGTGGCAAAGACCAAGTCGTCGACGTACACGAGGATGTAGAACGGCGGCAGCGAGGTGTCGGTGCGCAGAAACAGCGACGGGTCAGCAGTAGAAGGAGCAAACCCAAGAGCCGCAAGTGTAGTCCTCAGTGTGTCGTGCCACTCGCGCGGCGCCTGGCGGAGACCGTAGACTGGCCGCCGGAGGCTCCACTGGGTACCAGGAGGGAACGACCCAGTGAAACCAGGAGGGCGGCGCAGCCAGATCTCCTCGTGCAGGCGGCCCTGCAGGAAAGCAGTGCTGAAGTCAAGAGAGTGTAGCTCGTAGTCACGCTGAGCAGCGACGTGCAGCAGAACCCGAAGAGTGGTCATCTTCGGGGTCGGGGAGAAGGTCTGAAAGAAGTCAACTCCCTGTCGCTGACTGAAGCCACGAGCCACGTAGCGCGCCTTGAAGACAGGCGGAGAACCCGGCGGCCGCTTCACCCTGAAAATCGACATGCCACTGACAATGTTCGCCCCAGGAGGGGGAACAAGCGTCCACGTAGGTGCCTGTGGACTTCCAGGAAGCCATCTCTGCGTCCATGGCTGACTGCCACTGAGAGGAGTAGGGACCGGCCATCGCCTCTGCGTAAGAGCGTGGGGTCGGGATGTCTAGCGCATCCGGGTCTCCCTCAGGGGCAACAAGCATGGACACGAGATGGGGCAAAGCGGCGGCAAAGCACTGGAACTCCTCCTGCCTGTCCTCAAGGACGTCCGTGCCAAGAGCACAGTCACCCCCGACGGACGGAGGACAGGCAGACGCAGACGCAGCAGACGCAGACTCAGCAGACTCAGCAGACGCAGCAACAAGACTGGCAGCGTAGTCTAAACGACACGCAGCAGCAAAGTCGACCAGCTCCGCAACTAGGGCAGACGCAGCAGCGGACTCAAAGGAAGGGTCAGTGACAAGAGAAGCAAGAAGACGCGTGACAGTAGGACTGGCAGCACGGCGAGAGTCCGACTCCGGGTCGTCAAGAGTAGGAAGAGAGGACTCAGGAGGAGAAGGCAAAGGGGCACGCAGAGGAGCAGTGGACGGACGCAGAGACATCTGGTGCGTTGCCAGGGACAGGAGGAGGACGCTGACCGCGAACCGCGACACACTAGGGCGAGCAGCTCGGATTGGCGACGCAAGGGCGGGACGGAGGCTCACGACGCTCAGCAAGACCTCCAGTAGGACCAGCGTAGGGAGAAGGAGAAGGCAGGGGAGAGGCGGGCTGTAACTGTGACTGGCGACGGAACAGGCTGTGGACACTCTACGGGAGGAGAAGGACCAGTGGAAGGCGGGAGACCAAGAACCTGCTGGAGGAGCGGAACGAAGTACGGCCGAGGCCGCGCCAGCACCGCCAGAGACAGCAGGGACAGCACCAACACCTCCAGAGGCAGCACCAGCACCAGTAGCAGCTCCAACTCCAGCACCTCCAGCAGAGCCAGAAGTACCCTCAGGAGGACCGACAGTCGTAGTCTCAGCGCCAGCACCCGCAGCAGCTCCAGCTCCAGAGGCACCCCCGGGCCCGGCAGCTCCAGTACTCGCAGTACGAGCACCTTCGGGACCTGTGGTACCAGCCCCCTCGGCAGCAACAGAACCTCCAGCACCCGCAGCACCCCCAGCTCCAGCAGCACGCCTCCAGCGCCGGGCAAACCACTCACGCAGCTCCAGAGGAGAGAGCGGCTCGCGGCTCGAACCACCAGGAAGAGAAGCAGCAGGCGCAGCACTCCCAGACGCAGTACCCCCAGGCTCAGCACCCCCAGGCTCAGCACCCCCAGTCGTAGTACTCCCAGGCTCAGCACCCCCCAGGCTCAGCACCCCCGGGCTCAGCACCCCCAGGCTCAGCACCCCCAGTCTCAGCACCCCCAGGCTCAGCACCCCCAGTCGCAGCACCCCCAGGCTCAGCACCCCCAGTCTCAGCACCCCCAGGCTCAGCACCCCGAGGCCCCGCACCCGCAGCAGCACCAGAGTCACCAGTGACCTCAACAGGCTCGACCGCGTCTACCTGAGACACACCTGAAGGGGCAGGGACCCTGAGGGGGGAGGGGGTCTACCGGGGGGGGACCTGGGACCAGGAAGAGGGGCGGTGGGGGAAGGGAGGGAGTGCGGTAGGGGAAGAGCCGGTAGAAGGGGACCGACTCGTCGAACGTGACGTCCTGGGAGGACAAAACACGACGAGAGGTGGGGTGGTAAAACTGCCACCCAGGGGCGTCAGGGGGGGAAACCCAGGAAGACGCAAGGAGCAGCACGAGGGGACAGCTTTCTCCGCAGACAAGTCGCGGACAAACGCCCGAGATCCCCAGACACGGAACGCCGACGCATCGCCAACCTTCCCCGTCCACAGCAGAGCTGGGGAGGTCTCTGGTCTGGAGACCCTGGGCTGAAGGTTGATCTGGTGCGCGGCGTACCTCACCGCAAACGGCCACAGAAAATGGGGGGCAGCCGCATGCACCATGGACGTACGGGCGACGTCCATGACAATGCCGATGCGGCGCTCAGCAATCCCATTCTGCCGTGGAGAGTCCGGAAGCGTGAAGGTCTGGCGGATGCCTCGTGCACGACAGTAGGCTCGCAGAAGACCGGAGGAGAACTCTCCGCCTCTGTCCGAGTGCAGACGCAAAACAGGAAAGTCCGAGCCGAAGCTCCGCCTGAGCTGGAGACGAGCTGCGCGGATCCAGTCGATCAACACCTTAGTGACCTCACCCTTGCTGCGCAAGGGAAAGACCGTGGTGTAACGTGAGTAGTCGTCAACCACCAGCAGGAAGTAGCGCTCGTGACCCTGTCCACGGACGCGGGCTGGGCCCCACACGTCCATGTGAAGCGTCTGCATCGGGGCCTCCGTCGGAGGAAAGGGGGAGGAGTGAGGGGTAGCCCGCAGGCGACCCTCGACACAGGGGACACAGGGAGGACCAGGCCCTGGAGGAAGGGGAGGGAGGGACCGAGGAAGACCAGAGACAAGAAGGCGAGAGGCCATGCCCCGGAGACGAGGCAGGGAGGGGTGACCCATCCTGTGGTGCCATAGGAGGGTCTCGTGAGACAGGAGGCGACACGAGCAGGGGGCAGACTCAAGACCAGACCTGGACGCTGCAGCAAACACCTGGCCCGACGCTGCTACCTGACCAGACGCAGGAGGAGGAGACGGAACAGTGAGTGTGTACAGGCTCGACCCCAGCCCACGTGTGAACGTGGTCAAGTGTCGACCCGTGTCCGCGTCCGTGTAGTGGGTATCCCGTCGGCGCGCAGGGGTGAACTGGTCAACCCCTGCATCCTGTAGGTCAGCACCCGCCACCAAGTTCGTAGAGAACGAGGGGAGGTAGAGACCGGACAGGGCGCCGGACGGGACCGCAGGGCACGGCAAGACAGTGGAGTAGCGAGCCAGAACTGGACCCCCAGAGGGGTCCGCCAGGGAGACCGCCACTGGCCGACTGAGCGGCGTGAGTGTGGTGCGGTCTCTAATGAAGGAGCGAGACGCCCCAGAGTCAAGAGTGAAGGTGAGAGAGGGCGGAGCCGACGCAGTACCTGAGAGAGCAGACTCACCAGCACCTGAGGACACAGACTCACTGGCACCTAGAGCGACAGCCTCACCAGCAACTGGAGCAGCAGCCTCAACAGCACCTAGAGCCGCGGTACCAATGCCCGGGTCGGGCGGGAAACACCGGTAACAGTCACCCTCCTCACTAATAGTCACAGCATACATGGCACGAAGAATAGCATCAAAGTCAAGATCAAAGATAGCTACTCCTGCCCTAGACAGCTGGTCCCAGCGAGGGATCTCAGAGGCGTCAGGAAACTGGCGGCGCCAAGCGTCAGTCAGGCGGCCGAAGCAGCGCTGAACGGAGTGAGGACCACCACACTGCTCACCCGCACGGTCGCCAGTGCGCAGGACGTAGGTGCACGGACCAGTACCCCCACCCCTCTGACGTGCAGCGTACCACTCACGGAGCTGCTGCGGGGAGAGGGTCTCCGGACCACGCTGCTGCTGCTGGCGCTGACCACCACCGGAGCCACTCCTCCGCGACGAGCCACGACCGCCGCCGCCCCCTCCGCCGCCTCCTCCGCCGCCACCGCCACCACCTCCACCGCCACCACCACCTCCACCGTCGCTGCCGCCACCACCGCCTCCGCCTCCACCCCCACCACCACCGCCACTGCCGCCCCCGCCTCCACTGCCGCCGCTGACACCTCCACTCCCGCCACCACTCCCGCTACCACCCTCACCTCCTCCGCTGCCTCCACCGCCGCCTCCACCGCCCCCGCCGCCTCCCCCACCACCCCTGCCCCCCTTGCTCTTGCCAGAGCGACGTCTCCCACTGGGGGCAGACGCCGCACCGACCGACTCAAAACCAACTAGGTCGGCCGTAGCAGCAGAGGCAACAGAGGGCAGGAGGGGGGAGGGGGGACACCCCTCAAAGATGGGGGTGCGCGGGTCACCACGAGAGGCCCCTACAGCGAGAATGCTCTTCTCGGCCGCTAGGAGGGACTTCTCGAGGAGCTCAACGGTGAGAGTGGTGGGGCAGACTGAGAGTAAGTCGTCCCTGACTCCTCGAAGGGAGTCAGGGAGGCGGGTGACAATGTAGTAGAGAGTGAAGTACTTGGGGGGGGGGGGGTTCTTGGCACAGAACTCAGCAGGAAGCGCAGCGCGGAAGCGAGCGTCACTAGTGCGCAGGTGGGTAATGAGGTCGGCGACTGTAGCAAAAGCAGCAAGGTCGGGAAGAGGTACGGTAGCATGAGGCGGCTCAGTGCAGCAGTGGCAGGGGTGGAGTAGCGTGCAATAACGGCGTCGTACAAGGTCTTAGCACTCTTGTACGACCCAAAGTGCGCACGCTCAGCAGGGGGGAGGTGGCGACGCACAGCAAGACGTGCAGCAGCATCGCGAGTGGCCCACTGTGAGCGAACAGTGGCATCCTCAGTAGCAGCAGGGGCGGGAGAGGCACCAGAGGTGAGATCAAAGAGAGAGAGTCCGTCAGCTCTGTCGCACTGTAGGAAAAGCAGTAGGTCGTCTACCCACACGTCAAAGTCGATGGCTCTGCCCTCAGCGTCAAAAGTGAGGACACTGGGGGTAGCCATGACAGCACTAGGGTGAGGGCAGTGCGCAGAGTAAGGCTCAGTGCTCACCAGACAGGGCAGTGCAGGAGGGCTCGGGCGGCTCGGGCGGCTCTGGCGGCTCGGGCGGCTCGGCGGGTCGGAGCGGCTCGGCTGCTGGGGCGGCACGGTTGCTGGGGCGGCTCGGTGCTCGGGGCGGCTCGGCTGCTGGGGCGGCTCGGCTGCTGCGGCGGCTCGGCTGCTGCGGCGGCTCGGCTGCTGGAGGCGGCTCGGCTGCTACGGCGGCTCGGCTGCTGGGGCGGCGGGGCCGGTAGGTGCAGCGGCGGGCCGGCAGGTGCAGCGGCGGGCCGGAAGGTGCAGCGGCGGGGCCGTCAGGTGGTGCGGCGGGCCGGTAGGTGTAGCGGCGGGCCGGCAGGTGCAGCGGCGGGGCCGGCAGGTGCAGCGGCGGGCCCGCAGGTGCAGCGGCGGGGCCGTCAGGTGGTGCGGCGGGCCGGCAGGTGCAGCGGCGGGGCCGTCAGGTGGTGCGGCGGGCCAGCAGGTGCAATGGCGGGCCGGCAGGTGCTGTGGCGGGGGCCGTCAGGTGCTGCTGCGGGGCCGGCAGAGCAGGCCGCGGGGCCGCGCCGTAGCGAGCGGCGGGGCCGCGGGTGAGCAGGCGGCGGGGCCGCGTCTGAGAGGGCGGCGGGGCCGCGTCGTAGTAGGCGGCGGGGCCGCGTTCGAGAAGGGCGGCGGGGCCGCGTTCGAGAGGGCGGCGGGGCCGCGTTCGAGAAGGGCGGCGGGGCCGCGTTCGAGAGGGCGGCGGGGCCGCGTTCGAGAAGGGCGGCGGGGCCGCGTTCGAGAGGGCGGCGGGGCCGCGTTCGAGAAATGGCGGCGGGGCCGCGTCAGAGAGGGCGGCAGGGCCGCGAGGGAAGGGCGACACGGAGGGTCGCTCGAGCGAGAGGAAAAAAAAAGTTGGCGCGCCTCGGGGCGCGCTTCTGTGGGCCCTAGGCTAAGTTCCCACAGGGAACCCGCTCTATACCATGTTGAGTTGAGAGAGGAATGGAATGACTAAGGAAAGATTGGGTACAAATACAACCCTAGAAACCTGTACCCCATATGTGCTACCCCAGTATAGCCTACAGCAACTATGTCATATAAATCTGACAAGAGGGAGGAGGGAGAACACCCCTCAAAGACGGGGGTGCGAGGGTCACCACGAGAGGCTCCTAGGGCGACTATGCTCTTCTCTGCTGCTAGGAGGCGCTCCTCGAGGAGGTCAGCGGTGAGTGTGGTGGGGCAAACTGAGAGGAAGTGGTCCCTGACTAAGCGATGGGAGTCACGGAGCCGGGTGACTATGTAGTAGAGGGTGATGTACATGGGGGGGGGGGGGGGTTCTCTGCCCAGAACTCAGCAGGAAGCGCAGCGCGGTAGCGAGTGTCGCTAGTGCAAATGTACGTAATGAGGTCAGCGACTGTGGGAAAGGCAGCAAGGTCAGGGAAGAGGTACGGTAGCATGAGGCGGCTAAGCACAGCAGTGGCAGGGGAAGAGTAGCGTGCAACTACAGCGTCTTACAAGGTCTTAGCACTCTTGTACTGGCTAAAGTGCGCACGCTCAGTGGTCGGTAAGTGGCGACGCACAGCAAGACGGGCAGCAGCATCGCGCGTGGCCCACTGTGAGTGAACTGTGCTGTCAGCAGTAGCAGGCGGGGCAGGAGTGGCACCAGAGGTGAGATCAAACAGGGAGAGTCCGTCTACCCTATCGCACTGTAGGAACAGCTGGAGGTCATCGACCCAGACCTCAAAGTCAACAGCACGACCCTCAGTATCAAAGGTAAGGAAACTGGGGGTAGCCATGACTGCAGTGGCCTAGAAGGAAGTGATCTCACCAGTCCAAGGAAGTAGGGCCGGGGCGCGCCGGTAGGAACAGTAGTGGCTCGACGGCAGGGAGGCTCGGCGGCTCAGCTGCTGGGCGGCACGGTGGCTCGGCGGCACGGCGGCTCGGCTGTTGGGTGGCTCGGCTGCTGGGCGGCTCGGCGGCTCGGTTGCTGGGCGGCTCGGCAGCTCGGCTGCTGGGCGGCTCGGCGGCTCGGCTGTTGGGCGGCTTGGCTGCTGGGCGGCTGGCGGCGTGGTGGCTCGGCTCCTCAGCTGCTGGGCTGCTCAGCGGTGAAGGGGCCGGTAGAGGTGGCGACGGGGCCGCGAAGAGCGAGGACAGGGCCGCTAGGGGCGGTGACGGGGCCGCTAGGGTCGGAGACGGGGCCGCTAAGGGCGGCGAGGTGGCCGCGAAGGGCGGCGACGGGGCCTCCAGGGGTGGCTACGGGGCCGCTAGGGGCGGCGTTGAGGTCGCGAAGGGGCCGCTAGGGGCGGCAACGGGGCCGCTAGGGGCGGCGGGGCCTAGAGGGGCGGCCACGGGGCCGCTAGGGGCGGCAACGGGGCCGCGAAGGGGCGGCGACGGGACCGCTAGGGGCGGCGACGAGGTCGCGAAGGGGCCGTATGGGGCCTAGAGGGGGCGGCAACGGGGCCGCGAAGGGGCCGCGAGGGGCCTAGAGCGGCGGCGCCGGGGCCTAGAGCGGCGACGACGGAGCCGTAAGGGGCCGCGAAAGGGGCCGCGAGGAGGAGAGGTTGTGACGAGCCGCTAAGGGCTAGGGACGCGACGGGAGGGAGGGCACACGGGGCGGAACTCGGACAGGAGGGAAGCGCGCTCTGGGCAGGAAAAAAAAAATCGATTTTCAGTGGTGGGCCCTAGGAAACGTTCCCACTAGGGAACCTGCTCTATACCATGTGAAAAAATGAGGAATGCATGAACTAGCAAGCAGGTGGGTACAAGTAGGAAAACCTAAGAGTGTTGTACCCCATATTGTCTACCCCACTACAGCGTACACAGACTATAGCATATGAGTTTGACAATTTCATGCATGATCCCACGCGCGCGTTACACAATTGTGTTCGCCTTATTGCGGACTTCAAATAATAAATTCATTTTTGCCATTATAAAAGTGCCGGCGCTTATGGCCGTTACTCAATTATAAGCGCCGCCCCTGAAAAATATCGAATTTATCATAAGCGCATATGCGCCTACATCCGGGGTAATACGGTACAATCCGCACTTCCATCTAGGTAGGTTAGGAGGGAGAACGTGGTCCGTTGGTTAACGAGGGATGGAGGTATACCGTGTTACCGATGTGTCATATCATCACGCGCATCTGCCCTAGGGTTTCGCGATAAAAGGTTCTTAGTTATAAGACATACAAGACAACCATTTTCCTCCGTTTACAATGGCTGTGTTCTATAGGCCCTGGCGGTGGGGGGCCGAGGGGAAATATGTAGCTTCCCCCCACTGCGTTTTTTGGGTTTGGAAGGCGGTCAGCCCGCAAAACGTTGCCGAGCCAGCCATTTCTCCTCCGAACCTGTTCGAGGAGAAATGGCTACAGAACAGCCATTTACCCTGGTGGGTTTTGGCCCATCGGAAGCTACCTACTTCCCCTCTCCACCTTCCTTCCCTGGTAAAAATCATGTCACTCGCCTCGCCGAAACCCGCTTTTTTAGGGCGTGGCGAGAGACATGGGAGGGATGTCAGAATGTTATCATCTAGCCTGTAGTGGGGTGCTCTATAGCGGGTACAACCCAGTTAGGGTTTGCTATATGTATCCCAACTGCTGCTAGTGAAACCTCTCTTCTTCTGTTATCATTCTCGTTCTAACTTTCACATGGTTTCAGAGCAGGTCGACCCCCTTGGGTCGATCCTGTGGGTGGGCCCACCACCTAACTGCTTCCGCTGCTACTCTGTCTGTTGCACGGCCCGTGGCGTGCGACGCCTTCTTCCTGCTGAATTTTTTTTAAGGGTTTTCTGTTCGCCGTGCGCTCAGGGCGCGCGGCGGTTTTCTGCCCGCCGAGCGCCCCAAGGCGCGCGGCGGTTTCCTGCCACGGGGGACCCGCGCGCAACCCCCCCGCCCTTCCCGCCGCGTCGCTGCAGGCCGTGCGTGGGACTGCAGGCCGCGCGCGGCCCGTCTGCCCGTTGCGCGGCCTTGGGGACCCGCGTGCGGCCCCCGCCCTGCTCGTCGCGGCGCCCTGGGGAGCACGCGCGGCCCCCGCCCTTCTTCTCGCGGCGCCGTGGGGAGCCGCGCGCGCCCCCCGCCCGTCCGTCGCGGCGCCCTGGAGACCGCGCGCGCCCCCCCGCCCGTCCGTTTTGGCGCCCTGAGGAGAGACGCGCGGCCCCTCCTGTACCGTCCCCCCCCCCCCCCTCGTGCTGCCCATTCCTCCCGTGCCGCCGTGCGTTCCGCGGTGGTGGGGGGTGTGGGGTGGCGAGCATGGGGGTGCGCTGTGTGGGTACTCCCCTTCCCTCTCCCCACCTCCTTGTTCGTCTCCCACTGCTGCTGAGGGGGGGTGGAGGTGTGGGAGCCGAGGGGAATGGCGCTAGGGGGGTGACGTGGGAGTGGTGTTAGGGGTTCAGCGGGGGGTGTGTGTCAAGGGTGACGTGGGAGTGGAGCCAGTCACTCCAGTAGTCCGTCGCCCTTGCTTCGGTAGCCACTGAGTAAGCCGCTTCTGTGCCCGTGCCTCTGCAGCTTCAGTCGTTGCCTCCCATCTTCTCTCCTTCCACAGTTCCTCCTCCTCCTCACTTGCCCGCTGTGATTACCTCTAGCTTTGCTTATTATTGTGAACTCCTCCTATACCTGCTCATTGTGCTGATTACAACCCACTTTGGCTATGGGGGTGTGTCAGAATGTTATTATCTAGCCTGTAGTGGGGTGCTCTATAGCAGGTACAACCCAGTTAGGGTTTGCTATATGTATCCCAACTGCTGCTAGTGAAACCTCTCTTCTTCTGCTATCATTCCTGCTTACTATTCTAACAAGGGATGTACAGGGGCCAGCATGGCCTTGTTGTCTACGTACAGAACTGGAGGAGAACAAGGCGGCTCTCCGAGGTCAGTCAGCAGGTAGGTGAGCCAGCGAAGCTCCTGTGCAGCCATGGCCCCAGCGTAGATCTCAGCCTCACAACTGGAGCCGAGAACAGAAGACGAGTGAGTAGCCCGCCACGAGACAGAGCCGGAACCAAGGCTGAAGGTGTAACCCTGTGACGACCGCTGCGTAGCCTGGTCGTCAGCCCAAGAAGTGTCTGCGTGCCCAGTGAGGACCACTGGACTGCGCCCTCCAAGCACTAGCCCCATGCCCGACGTACTGCACAAGTAGCGCAACACACTCTTCGCTGCAGCCATGTGTTCTGGTCGGTGTCTCCCAGGAGCAACATAACGTGCGAGAATGCTAAGAGGGTATGCAAGGTCAGGTCGTGTGCAGGTCATCAGGTACATGAGGCAGCCAACAAGCTCTGGATACGGGCCACTCGACTCTACGGACTCATTCGAAGGCAGAGCTGAGAGCGAGTGGCGAGTAGGCAGAGGAGTGGCCTGAGGCGAGGAGTACGTGAAGCCGAAGCGCTGAAGGACCTGCTGCACCATGTGTGACTGAGTCAGGGTAATGGTGCGGCGTGCTCTGTCCCGGGTGATCTGCACGCCAAGGTAGCTGCGCAGTTCACCCAGGTTTGTGCATGTGTGTCTCTTCTGCAGCTCAAACTTCACGTAGGCGAGTCCAGCAGTGTCAGCTGTGGCAAAGACCAAGTCGTCGACGTACACGAGGATGTAGAACGGCGGCAGAGAGGTGTCGGTGCGTAGAAACAGCGACGGGTCGACTGTAGAAGGAGCAAACCCAAGAGCCGCAAGCGTAGTCCTCAGTGTGTCGTGCCACTGACGTGGCGCCTGGCGGAGACCGTAGACTGGACGCTGGAGACTCCACTGGGTACCAGGAGGGAACGACCCAGTGAAGCCAGGTGGGCGGCGCAGCCAGATCTCCTCGTGCAGGCTGCCCTGCAAGAAAGCTGTGCTGAAGTCACGGTGAGCAGCAATGTGCAGCAGTACCCGAAGAGTGGTCATCTTCGGGGTGGGAGAGAAGGTTTGATAGTAGTCAACTACCTGCCGCTGACTGAAGCCACGAGCCACGTACCGTGCCATGAAGACAGGCGGAGAACCAGGCGGTCGCTTCACCCTGAAGATCCACATGCCACTGACGATGTTCGACCCAGGAGGGGGGACAGCGTCAACGTAGGTGCCTGTGGACTTCCAGGAAGCCATCTCTGCATCCATAGCTGCCTGCCGCTGAGAAGAGTAGGGACCCTCTATCGCCTCCGCGTAAGAGCGCGGAGTCGGGATGTCAAGTGCATCCGGGTCTCCCTCACGGGTAAGCAGTACAGACACGAGATGAGGTGAAGCGGCTGCCAGACACTGGAACTCCTCCTGCCTGTCCTCAAGGACGTCCGTGCCAAGGGCTCACTCACCCCCGACGGACAGAGGACAAACAGACTCAGACTCAGCGACAAGACTAGCAGCGTAGTCTAGGCGACAGCGAGCAGCAAAGTCGACGAGCTCAGTAACAAGGGCAGACGCAGCAGTGGACTCGAAAGAAGGGTCAGTGACAACAGTCGCAAGAAGACGCGTGACAGTAGGACTGGCAGCACGAAGAGAGTCCGACTCCGGGTCAGAAAGAGCAGGAAGAGAAGACTCAGGAGGAGAAGGTAAAGGGGCACGCAGAGGAGCAGTGGACGGACGCAGAGAAATCCGGTGCGTGCCAGGCACAGGTGGAGGACGCTGACGCGAACCGTGACCACTAGTGCGAGCAACACGAACCGGCGACGCAGGGCGAGACGCAGGCTCACGACGCTCAGCAAGACCTCCAGTAGGACCAGTGTAGGGAGAAGGAGCAGGCAGAGGGGAGGCGGGCTGTAACTGTAACTGTGACGGGACAGGCTGTGGACACTCTAAAGAAGGAGGAGGACCACTAGAAGGCGGAAGACCGAGAACCTGCTGTAGGAGGGGAACGAAGTACGGTCGAGGCCGTGCAGCGACGCCAGACACACCAGGGACGGCACCAGTACTCCCAGCAGGAGCACCCGCTCCAGCAGCACCTCCAGCAGCTCCAGAACCTCCAACAGCACCAGGAGTACCCCCAGCAGAACCACCAGCAGTAGTCTCAGCGCCAACACCCTCAGCAGCACCAGCTCCAGTCGAAACCGCAGGCCCAGCAACTCCAGTACTCCCAGTACGAGCACCTCCGGGACCCGTGACAGTAGCACCCTCCGGAGCCGTAGAACCTCCAGCACTAGCAGCACGCCTCCAGCGCCGGGCAAACCACTCGCGCAGCTCTAGTGGAGAGAGTGGCTCCCGCAGCGACGAAGCACCCGGCGAACCTCCAGGCGGAGCACCTCCAAGCTCAGCACCCCCAGGTACAGCACACCCAGGCAAACCACCCCCAGGCTCAGCACCCCCAGGCTCAGTACCCCCAGGCTCAGCACCCCCAGGCTCAGCACCCTCAGGCTCAGCACCTCCAGCAGCACCAGAGTCACCAGTAACCTCGACAGGCTCGACTGCATCAACCTGGGACACACCTAAAGGAGCAGGACCCTGAGGGGGGAGGGGGTCTACCGGGGGGGGACCTGGTACTAGGAAGAGCGGGGGGGGGGGGGGAGGGACGGAGTGCGGTAGGGGAAGAGGCGGTAGTAGGGGACTGACTCGTCAAACGTGACGTCCTGGGAGGACAGAACACGGCGAGAGGTTGGGTGGTAGAACTGCCACCCAGGCGCGTCGGGGGGGAACCCCAGGAAGACGCAAGGAGTAGCACGAGGGGACAGCTTGTCCGCAGACAAGTCGCGGACAAACGCCCGAGATCCCCAGACCCGGAACGTCGACGCATCGCCAACCTTCCCCGTCCACAGCAAGGCTGGGGAGGTCTCCGGTGTGGAGACCCTGGGGTGGAGGTTGATCTGATGCCACAGAAAATGGGGGGCAGCCGCATGCATCATGGACGTACGAGCGACGTCCATGACCATGCCAATGCGGCGCTCAGCAATCCCATTTTGCTGCGGGGAGTCTGGAAGCGTGAAGGTCTGACGGATGCCTCGTGCACGACAGTAGGCACTCAGAAGACCAGAAGAAAACTCTCCGCCTCTGTCCGAGTGCAGACGCAGAAGAGGAAAGTCCGAGCCAAAGCGCTGCCTGAGCTGGAGACGAGCTGTGCGGATCCAGTCGATCAGTACCTCAGTGACATCACCCTTGCTGCGCAAGGGGAAGACCATGGTGTGACGCGAGTAGTCGTCAACCACCAGCAGGAAGTAGCGCTCGTGACCCTGTCCATGGACGCGGGCTGGGCCCCACACGTCCATGTGAAGCGTCTGCAACGGGGCCTCTGTCGGAGGAAACTGGGAGGAGTGAGGGGCAGCCCGCTAACACCCCTCGACACAGGGGACACAGGTAGGGCCAGGGCCCTAAGGGAGGGGAGGGAGGGACCGGGGGAGACCAGAAACAAGAAGACGGGAGGCCATGCCTCTGAGCCGAAGCAGAGAGGGGTGACCAAGGCGGTGGTGCCAGAGGAGGGTCTCGTCAGACAGGAGACGACACGAACAGGGGGCAGACTCAGGACCAGACCTGGACGCAGCGGCAAATACCTGACCCGACGCAGCTACCCTACCAGACTCAGCAACTGGAGGAGACGGAGTGGTCAGTGTGTACAGGCTCGACCCCGGCTGACGGGTAAACGTAGCCAGGTGTCGGCCTGTGCTAGCCTCTGTACAGTGCGTCACCCGTTGACGCGCAGGAGTGAACTGGTGGACTCCCCCATCCTGTAGGTCAGCACCACTCACCAAGTTCGTAGAGAACGAGGGGAGGTAGAGACCAGACATGGTGCCAGAGGGAGCCGCCGGACACGGGAGGACTGTGGAGAAGTGAGACAGGACATGACCCCCAGAGGGGTCAGCCAGAGACACCGCGACTGGCCGACGAAGCGACGTGAGTGTGGTGCGGTCGCGAAAGAAGGAGCGAGAGGCCCCAGAGACAAGAGTGAAGGTGAGGGAGGCCGAAGCCGGCGCAGTACCTGAGAGCGCAGACTCACCAGTACCTGAGGAAGCAGACGTACTAGCACCTAGAGCAGCAGCGTCGCAAGCACCTAGGGCAGCAGCCTCACTAGTACCTAGAGCAGCAGTCTCAATGCCTGGATCGAGCGGGAAACACCGGTAACAGTCACCCTCATCACTAAAAGACACAGCATACATGGCAGAGAGAATAGCATCAAAATCAAGATCATAGATAGCAACTCTCGCCCCAGCGAGGGATCTCTGTGGCCTCCGGGAACTGGTGACGCCACGCGTCCGTCAGGCGGCCAAAGCAGCGCTGGGTGGGGTGCGCACCCCCACACTGCTCACCCGCACGGACGCCGGTGCGCAGGACGTAGGTGCACGGACCAAAACCCCCACCCCTCTGGCGTGCAGAGTACCACTCACGGAGCTGCTGAGGGGACAGGGCCTCACGACCACGCTGCTGCTACTGGCGCTGACCACCACCGGAGCCACTCCTCGACGTAGACCCGCGACCAGCTCCACCGCCACCCCCGCCGCCCCCACCGCCTCCACCGCCTCCGCTACTACCTACCGCCGCCTCCGCCGCCTCCTCCACTGCCACCACCTCCGCTACCCCCGCTCCCACTGCCACCGCCGCCGCCGCCTCCGCCTCCACTGCCGCCACCGACACCTCCACCCCCACCTCCACTCCCACCGCCACCCCCACTCCCCCCGCCGCCTCCACCTCCACCTCCACCGCCCCCGCTCGCTCCTCCAGTGCCCTTGCCCCCCTTGCCCTTGCCAGAGCGGCGTCGCCCGCTAGGGGCAGACGCCGCACCGACCGACTCAAGACCAAGAAGGTCGGCCGTAGCAGCAGAGGCAACAGAGGGCAGAAGGGGGGAGGGGGAACACCCCTCAAAGATGGGGGTGCGCGGGTCACCACGAGAGGCCCCTACAGCGACTATGCTCTTCTCGGCCGCTAGGAGGGACTTCTCGAGGAGGTCAACATTGAGAGTGGTGGGACAGACAGAGAGAAAGTGGTCCCGAACTACTCGAAGGGAGTCAGGGAGGCGAGTGACTATGTAGTAGAGAGTGATGTACATGGGGGGGGGTTCTTGGCGCAGAAGTCAGCAGGAAGGGCAGCGCGGTAGCGAGTGTCACTAGTGCGGAGGTGCGTGGTGAGGTCAGCGACTGTGGGAAAGGCAGCAAGGTCAGGGAAGAGGTACGGTAGCATGAGACGGCTCAGTGCAGCAGTGGCAGGGGAGGAGTAGCGCGCGACTACAGCGTCGTACAAGGTCTGAGCACTCTTGTACTGACTAAAGTGCGCACGCTCGGAGGTAGGGAGGTGGCGACGCACAGCAAGACGTGTAGCAGCGTTGCGCGTGGCCCACTGGGAGCGAACAGTGGCGTCAGCATCAGCAGCAGGGGCAGGGGAAGCGCCAAAGGTGAGGTCAAAGAGAGAGAGAGACCGTCTGCCCTATCGCACTGTAAGAACAGCTGTAGGTCGTCTACCCAGACCTCAAAGTCGATGGCCTGACCCTCAGCGTCAAAAGCGAGGACACTAGGGGTAGCCATGATCACAGTAGGCTAGCAGTGCAAACAGTAGGGTGAGGGCAGTGAAGTGAAAGAGGCGCTGTGCTCACCAGACTGGGCAGCTTGGGCAGCTCGGAAGTAGGGCGGCTCGGTGGCTCGGCGGCTCGGCTGCTGGGCGGCTTGGCCGCTGGGCGGCGCGGCTGCTGGGCGGCTCGTCTGCCGGGCGGCTCGGCGGCTCGGCTGCTTGGCGGCTCGGCTGCTGGGCGGCTGAGCTGCTGGGCGGCTCGGCTGCAGGGCGGCTCGGCTGCTGGGCGGCTCGGCTGCGAGGCGGCTCGGCTGCTCCGTCGCCTGGGCGGCTCGGCGGTGCTGCTGCAGGGCGGGGCGGCGGTCGGCTGCTCGGCTGGGTGGGGTGGGTCGAGCAATCCTGGTGGCGGGCGGCGCTGCAGCAGGTGAGAGGGGGCGAGGCCGCAGCAGAGGGCGGCGTGGCCGCAGGTGACAGCGGCAGGGCCGAAGATGAGGGCGGCGGTGCCGCAGCAGAGGGCGGCGAGGCCGTAGCAGTTTAGGGCGGCGGGGCCGCAGTGAGAAGGGCGGCAACGGGCCACTGGTAGGGCGGCAACGGGGCCGCAGGTGAAAGGGCGGCGACGAGCCGCTGCTAGGGCGACGACGGGCCGCAGATGAGAAGGGCAGCGACGCGCCTCTGTTAGGGCGGCGACGGGCCGTTACTAGGGTGGCGACGGGCCGCAGGTGAGAAGGGCGGCGACGGGCCGCTGGTGAGAGGGCGGCGACGGGCCGCTGCTAGGGCGGCGATGGGCCGCTGCTAAGGGCGACGCGACGGGTCGCTAAGGGTGACGCGACGGGTCGCTAAGAAGGGCGCGACCCTAAGGGTGACGCGACGGGTCGCTAAGGGTGACGCGACGGGTCGCTAAGGGCGACGCGACGGGTCGCTAAGGGCGACGCGACGGGCCGCTAAGGGTGACGCGACGGGTCGCTAAGGGTGATGCGACAGGTCGCTAAGGGTGACGCGTTCGGGCAGGGGCAGAACGCGCCCCAGGCAGGAAAAAAAAAATCGGTGGGCCCTAGGAACAGTTCCCACGAGGGAACCTGCTCGATACCATGAGAAAGCATGAACGAGAGAATGAATGAACTATGAATGAAGTGAGTACAAGTACTAACCCTAACTGGGTTGTACCCCCTACGGGATACCCCACTACAGTCTACACAAAAGCATAAGCTATAATGTTATGACAGTGGGGACACCCATCTTTTATGTGAAGATAGTAAGCAGAAACTTAGAACATGAAAGAGGGTTTGCACTAGCAGGCAGTTGAGTGCATATTGGAAACCCTAATTTGGGCTATACTTGCTATAGAGTACCCCACTGCAGGCTACACAAATATAACATTCTGATACACCCCCATAGTCAAAGCGGGGTATCATCAGTACAGCAAGCAGGCATAGAGCTGGTTCACAGGTACAAGCAAAGCTAGAGGCATTCACAGAGGGAAAGTGAGGAGGAGGAGGGACTGTGAGAGGAGAGGAGATGGGAGGCGACGGCGGAAGCTGCAGACACACGGTAGCGGCTGGCTCAGTGGCTACTTAAGCAATGGCCAGGACTTCAGGAGTAACTAGCTCCGCGGCTTCGCCGAGCGGGTGGAGCATCTGACCCACGGGCGACTGGCGACTACCGGAGATTGTAGCCTCCGGACTACTGGCGCTGCTCGCGACACGACAGCTACCTCCACTCAACCTCACCCAGCTGTCCCACCCCCTTTTCACACACCCCCTGCTGCACCTCTAGCTCCACTCCCACGACACCCCCCTAGCACCACTCCTTCGGCTCCCACACACCCACCCCCCTCAGCGGCAGCTGCAGCAGTGGGAGACGGAGGAGGAGGAGGAGCAGGGGACGCCTCACCCACCCGCCACCCCCATACCCCCAACACAGGAGGAGTGCGTGCGGCGCAGGGCACAAACGCGGGCAGCACCTTGGGCGCTGCGACGGGCGACGGGCAGGGCGGCGCGCGAGCCCCCAGGGCGCCGCGACGGGCGACGGGAGGGGGCGACGCGCGGGCCCCCAGGGCGCCGCGACGGGCGACGAGAGGGGGCGACGCGCGGGCCCCCGGGCCCCGCGACGGGCGATGGGAGGGGGCGGGGCGCGGGCCCCCGGGATGCCGCGACGGGCGACGGGAGGGGGTGACGAGCGGGCCCTTGGGGTGCCGCGATGGGCGACGGGAGGGGGCGGGGCATGAGCCCCCGGGACGCTGCGACGGGCGACGGGAGGAGAGAGCGCGCGGGCCCCCGGGGCGCCGCGACGAAACCGCCGCGCGCCCCGAGCGCGTTGCGGGCAGAAAACCGCCGCGCGCCCTGAGCGCGTGGCGGGAAGAAAAAACGCCGCATGCGCCGGGTGCGCGGCAGGCAGAAAACGTCGCGCGCCCCGGGGAGGACAGCAGCGGAAGCAGGTGGGCCCACAGGCCAAGAGCGTAGTCGCTCTGATAGCATGTGAAGAAAGTAAGCAGAAAGTTAGAATAGGAAAGAGGGTTTGCACTAGCAAGCAGTTGAGTACATATAGGAAACCCTAATTTGGGCTATACTCACTATAGAATACCCCACTGCAGGCTAGACAAATATAACATTCTGACATTGTACCCTAGAAAGACATGCACTAATGCTGCGATTACCCACCCAGAGATGCACAACCCGCGGGATGAAAAAAACGCCCAACCATCTTGGAAATTTGAGAGCGATGTTTGCTTTTCGTTTTTCCACAGCTGAACCCCCTCATGCAAAAGTTTACCCTCATCTGTAGGTTCGCTCGATTCGATGTACCCCTGCCTATGTGGCGCAAAGTTGAGCAGGTAAATGCGTCATTTACCGTCGGCACTTTCCGCCCCAGCTCTCGAAGTTTCGCGCTCTCGGTTGTAGCGGGGTGGGGATGATCTCGAGAGGGAAACTGCTAAGGAAACCTCGCCATTTACTTTCGCCCCCCCCCCCCTCCTTCCCCCCACGGCATGTGCCTACAGAACAGAGCCAGTAACTTGGAATAATTTGTCTTGTCTTCTAGGCAGTGTGAGCTACGACAGAACTTCTCTATTATGGGATGGTAACGTACTCAGTAGAGGACGAAAAGGAATGGAGAATTTTACAATTACCATAGATTCGATCAAACGAAACAAAAACAAAAACATGCAAGCAAAGAAAAAATGTTGTTAGCTTAGCAGCATGTCACTAGGAGAGCAAGGGGGTGGGGGGACGGGTGGTGATCATAAGTGACGTCACCCTGGCAGTCCTCCCAGATCCGTTCTTCCCACATTTACAAACTGTACACGTATTTGTAACACTGTGTCGTGAACGTCACGCCAGCACAGCCCATTACATGAGCACACGACACGCCAGGTGCCACAGGTGCCACGTAAGCACCGCCAACAGGGCGTGAGTCGCCACACTCTTGAGCACAGTCAGCACCCGCACCCGCCACTGCAGCTTCTGCTGCCACTGCTGCAGCAGCTGCTGCTGCCCCATCACCCTCTCCCCTCCCGTCCCTTCCACACCCTCCCCTTCCGTCCCTTCCACTGCCTCTGATTCCTGTGCTGGCCTAGCAGCAGCAGCAGCAGTAGGAAGCTCTTGTGCTGCCATTGCTGCTCCCTCCGAGACGAAAGAAGAGACCACTGCAGCAGTAGCTTCGGCAAACGAAGCAGCGGGAGGAATAGGCGCTTCACCGATGTGAGCCGCATGAGTAGTAGCCGGAGGTTGAGGGGTTTGCGGAGGGGTTCCTGGTGCTGCTGGTGTGGTGGCATGCAGTGCAGAGTGGCGGCGCAGACGCCAGGAGTAGCGGGGGCGCTTGTGGTGAGGCGTGGGAGAGGAGGGGCCGCGAGCGAGCGCTGCTGCTTCCTCCATGCTCTGATATGCGTGAGGAGAAAGGGGAGCGGATGAGAAAGGAGGGAACGGGAATGAGAAGGGGGAAAAGAAACGAGACAGCGATTTTGGGTAGGATATGAGAGGTTAGGGCGAAGGGCGCGAGACGGACACGGTGCGTGCGTGCGTGCGTGCGTGCGTGCGTGCGTGCGTGCGTGTGTGTGTGTGACGCTCACGTAGGTCAGCAGAGGTTGCAGAATGAGAGCCAGCAGAGCCACCGTGTCCATTGACAGCAACAACAAACTCGCGACACTCCCAGAATGCATGCATGCATGCATCCCCCTGGGTGGTACCACTCGCACTCACATAGGACAGCAGCGGTTGCAGAATGAGCGCCAGCAGTGCTGACAACACCGTTGCTGCCGCCAGCAGCCACAGCTGCAACTCATTCCCCCACTCCGCCACTCCCCCTCCCATCCCCCCTGCCCCCTCCACCCATGCTTCCCGCTCTCCTCCGCCACTCTCCTCATCTTCCCCCCCTTCTCTCCACGCAGGGCTAAGGAGAGGCGACGGAGAAGGGAGGAAGGGGGAGAGGGGATTACCGGAGTGTGCGAGGGATAGGGAGAGAAGGCAGAGTGCTGACGTGGCAAAGAGCACCCTAAGAACCGCCCGCTCGACCATCGAACCCAACTGGGCAGGCGAAGGTGAGAAAACATTTCGGAGCTGCCCGATGGGCAGGAAGGTGAGGACGAGAGTGAGCGTGTAGGCGAGAGAGAAAGCAGCGAGGTGGGCTGTGCGGATGAGAGCAGGGACGAGGAGAGGAGGCGAGGTGGGGAGGGAGGAGAGGTGGGAGAGGAGGGGGATGGGCAGTACGAGGCGTTGGAACCAAAGGGGCAGGCGGGACATTAGAGCACTAGAGGGGAAGGGTGGGTTCACCCTCTCCCACTGCTCCCACTGCTGCATCTGCTCCTGCTGCTCTGCTCCCTCTGTCCCTTCTGCCTCTGCTGCTTCCCCTGTTGCTGTCTCTTTGCCGTCGGCCTTCTTGGGACGCACTGCATCTCGTACTGGCTGGAAAAACCGCACTCCTTGCAATTCCATCCACACCCCATCCCCCATCTCCCCTTCCTCCCCTTCGCCTCCCCCTTCCCTCCTCACCCCCTCCCTCATCTTCTCCCCAGCCCCCTCCACTGCTTCCCATCCCTCCTCAGCTTTCTCCCTCATCTTCCCACCCACCCTGCTGCCCTCTTCCCTCACCTCTTCCCACGCCTTCTCAGCACCTTCCTTCACTTTCTCTCCCATCTTGCTGCCTCTCTCCCTCGCCTCCTCCCATGCTCCCTCAGCACCTTCCTTCACCCTTTCTGGCAATTTCTCAGCACCTTCCTTCAACCTTTCCGGCAATTTCTCAGCACCTTCCTTCACCTCCTCCTGCAACTTCTCCGCACCTTCCTTCATCTCACTCCGCAGATTCTCCGCACCTTCCTCCACACGACCCTTTGCAGCATCCCATGCGCTCCCCACCTGCCCCACCGCACCTTCCCCCACCCCCTCTTCCCCCCACTCCCCCTCCCCCCCATGCTCCATGCGTACAGCCTCTGTGGCTACATCATACACTGGACCAAGGAAGGCCGTGGGTGCTGCAGGGGAGGATGGTGCTCCCGCCTCTTCATTCTTATGCCCATGCCCATGACCATGGCCATGAGTGTGTGGCAGAAACCCCTCCTCCACCACACACCTCCCCACTCCCTTCACTCTCTCACTCACATCCTTTACTGCCTCCTCTACCCCCTCCACCACCTCCCTCACTCCCTCCACTGCGCCCTTCACTCCTCCTTCCACTGCCCCAACTGTTTTTTTTTCCGCCCTCCCACACAGTTTGCCCGGCCTGCCTGCACCTGTCAATTGCTTCCTGCCCGAACTCCGCTGCCCCGGCACAAAATCCCACTGTTGTGTCCACAGCAGCCTGCCCGGCTCCATGCGCTTTTTCCCAAGCTGCCTCGAACTTTTCTTTTGCTGCCCGGCCGGTCGCGATCACAGCATCTCGGGCAGCCTCAGCATCTTCCCTGGCTGCCCGACCGCTCTCCACCACACGATCCAAAACACGCTTGCCAGCATCGTGCACCCGGGCAGCAGCGTACCTCGCCCGGGCAGCAAGAAACTCTTCCGCACTGACAACTTTCTGCCCGGCAGCCCGCAAGCGAGAGAGAAGCGAGTCGGCCATGTCCCACACCTTGTCTCGTGCCACGTCTCCCAATCCCTTGAGCCTTTCTGCAAGCCTGAAGCGCCTACCAGTAGAACCACCAGCAGCTCCCTCCCCTCCCTCCTCCTCTCCCTCCTCTGCCTCCTCCCCTCCCTCTCCCTCCTCTTCCTCCCCTTCTGCGCCCATCTTAGAACTTTCCACGCCCTCCTCCCCCCTCTCTCCCATCATCACCACCACTGTTCTTACCACTGCCTCAGCCCTCCGCCTTGCCTCCTCACCCACTCTCCCCCCTACATCCACATCAACGCCCCTCAACCCCTTCTCACTAATCTTTTGGCCTCCCTCCCCATCCCCCTCCATCTCCTCCTCCCCAAAATGCAAAACCAATTCTTCCTCCACCAGGGCAACAAAGCTCCGGTCAGAAAAAGCTTTCTGAGCTGCCCGACCTGCCCGGCGCACGGAATCTAGAGAGGCGAGCAGGAACTGGGCGCGGGAGAAGGCATCTGAAACCGCCTCCTCCACTGCCCTCTCCACTGCCGCATTCCACTCCTCATCCCTCCCCACACCCCTCTCCTCCTGTTGCTGCAGCTCTGCCTGTCCCTGCCTCTGTTCCTGCTCCTGCTCCTGCTCCTCCCTCTCCCCTCCTGCACTCACATCAACGGCAGGGAGAACAACTCCTACTCCGCGTCCCCCCTCTCCAAGCCCCCCCACGCCAGCATCCGCCAGGCTTGCATCAGGGGCCGGGGAAAGGGGGGGCCTGGAACCATCCCTCTTGTTGGTTGGAGTGCCATGCACGGCGCCAGATACAGCCTCCCCCAGTAGAGCCTCAGCAGGGAGGTCGGACTGAGCAGGCGGAACTATGCGGAGGGACGGATGGGCTGCTGCAGAGGGAAAGAAAGGAACGAAGGAAGGGGAAAGAGAAGAGTGATATGAGACGCCCCAAAAGGAGAGGAGAAAGGGGAAAGAACGAAGAGAGAAAGGGGAATGAGATAAGACGCCCTGAAAGGAGAGGATAAGAGCCATTCGCGCGCCAGATACAGCCTCCCCCAGTACAGCCTCGGCAGGGAGGTCGGACTGAGCAGGTGGAACCATGCGGAGGGACGGATGGGCTGCTGGAGAGGGGAATAGAGGAACTACGAAAGGGGAAAAGGAGGAGTAAGATAAGATCTAGGAGGGGAGGGGACGGATCTGCATGAGGAGGAAGATACAGCACAGGCAAAAGGTAGTGGGAACCGATTTAAGACATGAAATGTAGAAGCTATGTTTGCATATAGGAAACATGCAAGTACACGCTTTCACTCACAAGTACATGAGTGGAAAACAGAAAACCAAATAAACAGGCAGATGTGGAACCTGTGCCTCACGAAACAGACACTTTTAAAACCCGTGGGCCATGGAAAGGCGAAACCTTTCCTATCTGCAGCGCAGCCGACCGTGCCTACCAGAAACGACCTTAGAGCAAATCACCAGCTTACTACAACGAAACGAAAATCAATCTAGGCTCACTGCCTCCTGCACACAGTCACTGCTCCCAGACGCTCAAGTGCTGCCTATCTGTCCGTTCCTTGCACTGCTTAAACTAACTGTGCATGAGCACAACATCACAACCAGGACTTAACAGAACAACGGCAACCAGCCCAAAAACAATAACCAACAAAACAAAACAGAGCAAAACCAAGACTGACTAAAACTGAGCACAACTAGCTGACTGAAAGAGCCAGAAGCAGAACATCACAAGTCATGCCATGCATCTGAAAACTAGATACTACACAGGACCCCCTTTACTTGAATTCAGAACCTGCAACTGACAATCTATATCATAATTCGCGGCAGTCAAGATTCACCACCAGCCATACAGATGACTCACCACCATCAGCTGCAATGATGAAAGACGGCAGACCCAAGCGCTGCCTTCCCCCCACCCATCCGCCCCTGGCACTCGCGCGCGCGATCGCGGACGGGACGAGCGCGGGGAGGAAGATCCGGCGCACTTCCCCCGGGAGCGCGAGGAGGAGGGGGGGAGAGTGCGGGGAGAAGAGGATGGCGGAGATGAGCGAGGAGAGCAGGAAGAGCGCGGACGCCAGGAGAGACGCCGCCATGGCGCGCGGGGAGCCTGCCGCCGAACGCGGCGGAAATAAAGGAGGGAGGCTGATAAAGAGAGCGCCGAGTGACTCCTAGGTCGACTCAAAGGTCACCGGAGGGAGGCAAGTAACGAGTGGCTAGGATTAGCTGACGGGCGAAGCGAGATTGGGTCGAGAACGACCGCACTGCCCTTCGAGAAAGAGGCGCGAGATACCAAATTGAAGCGCGGCAAAAACCCTTTTCTTCGGAACTTGAAGCGCATACGGGACGCAACAGGTGAGGTGTTCAGCAAGGCGGAAAGACGCCACTCATCCCATGAGAGAGATCAGTTCCGTCAGTTTCTTGATTCTTGCGAGAAGTTCATCCATCCGTCGCTCGTTACTAGCTTCGCCGAGCCGCCACTGCTCCATTCCACCCACGCCCTGCGGACTTCTCTGCAGCCTTGCCTTTCAGGTGGAGGGACCCACGCAGCTTGAGTCCTCTGCGCCGGGTGGGACCGCGCGGAGCGGGAACTGCCTTCCGCTGGTCGCAAGCAGCCCCCTCGCGTCGCACAGCCATCGCCGTTATGCACAGCGCAGTCGCCAGGCGATTGCGACGACAATGCTCTGGTTAATGCGACAGCGTCACTCCAGCCTGCGTGGCGGAATCCACGCTGGGCTTTTGCATGAAGCCGGGGTACGCTGCTGCCTGCCTCGCGAGAATGCGACACGGGAGCTCGAGTCTCCTTGGCCCCCGGCGCGGCAGGCATGCTGTGCTGCGTCTGCCACGTGTTGCTAAACTGGAATGGGTCAGCCGCGATATTGGAAGTTAGGGCTGGTGGTTTGATTGCGTGTATAGCTACCGAACTCATGGTTGAACATTGATCTGCAGTGTTGCTTAGAACACTATAGATAAATTGCACAAGTTGCACAACCAACTTCTGTGAAAATCTGAAACACCCTATGAGCGTCTGATAACAAATAATACTGACTGTAAATAATAACAGGGTAATAATAACGTACAACATGGTAATGCAATAGCTCGGTTTTCCTCATGCTAGCAGCATGGCATCATCTCATTTGGTGCTCACAAGCAACCTCATCCTCTGAATCAGTTGGTGTTTTTCACCTTTCTTTTCTTCCTTGCCCTCAGCACCATCTTCTTCACTGCATCCTCATCTTCTTTGGTGCAAAACGAGGCATCCGGATCTGCTGCACCAGGTTCTATGCAGCTGTTGGGAAATTTGGTCTCAGCAGGAAGGTGGAAAGAGTTGTATTCATCGATCTTGTGCTGCTTCCCCATAGCTAGCCGCTTCCTCTTTGAAGTTGAATTTTTCTTTTTGCTCGATTGTGCTACAGGAAGTGAATCCTGCATACACAGAAGAGTGAGATTAACCAGCAATCACCCAAACTGGCGGCATGGCAATGCCTTAACAGCCTACCTCAAGCGCTGGTGGGCACGGCATCATACTCATATAGTCATCCTGACTTGCTTTCCAATTTTCATCATTCTGTAATGTCATTGACCACAACTCCCCAGCAGTCTCATGTCGAGGATTGCTCAGACAGATGGGTCTGTCAGAAATGACACAGGTGAGGCATGCGAAGGTGGATATTGAATGAAACGGAAGGAAACAGTCCAATGACCTCCCACCTTAACTGCATTAATTCATGGTTGTGATTCTTGGTCACCTATAAAACAACACAGTGTGAGCAAGAAACAAGGCACGACGGGTACATAGCAACAAGATAGAAAAACGAGTGTTACCTGCATGAAGTCAGTCATCTTCCCTTCAGTTCTCCTTTTTATTTGAGCATGGCCATTCACATGACGCTGAGGTTGTTCTCGCTTGTCAAACATTGGTGAAATATTCAGCTCCTTGCCTTCGAATTCCTGAAAGTTTCATAATTATCGCATCTTCCAAGACAAAAGTCAAACGAAATCTCTTACACGCTGTTGATTCCTCAGCATGGTTGTCATGTTCTTCATCATGTCCGAACGAAGTTCATTCATGCCTTTTTGAACTGCAGACTCCACCTGTTTCCAAGCGCAAAAGCCTCAGCAATATGCAATCCGCAAGCATCACAGGATAGACCTACCGTCTGAATGATGAGCTGTCGAAATCGTCCCTCTTGATCTTCACCTGCAGGACAATAGGTCAACCATATGAGCAGCTTGGCAGTACATGTTCTAGAAACAGCTTCAACAAAGCATACGTGAGTCGTCTTTCAAGTGCCCCAAGTCGGTCTTCATCTGCGAAATGTCCTCTGCGATTTCAACAATTTGGTTGCACAGATTCTCGACCTTATGGTTCGTTTCCTCACTGCAATCTGCACACCTTGCATCCGATGTTGAGAAATCTCTCCACAATCAGCCATTATCGAACCAATGTGAGCGACTCACTGCAAGGCGGCATCAATCTTTGAAGTGAATTCGTCAAGTTCGAAAAACTCTTCTCCTGGCCATTTTTCACGCGCAGCAAGGGCTGCGACGAATACTTTTGAAGAGAGACCGACGGTTGCGCTGTCTCCTGAGTAACCTGTCGCTGAGAGAGAGTTGTTATGTGGAGAATTTCTATCAGCAAACCATCGTAAACTCATGATTCGAGTTTCACAAACCTGAGAGCCTTGTGAGGCACTTGGGTATGATGGTGATATGCTTTGCGATAATTGGCTGGCGTGCGCCATGTACTTCGAGGATGGCATACCGAAAGCAAATGAGTCGGACGCGTTCGTTACTCTAGGCGAGGACCTACGAGAAACGAATTCATCAGCAGCTGTATCCAACAATGCGAGAGCTCTTTCTTCGTGTCAAACAAACCCACCCCAATGCTGCCCCATATTTTGTCGCATTATCCGTATCATGTCTGTTAACCAAAAAGCGTCTCATTCTTCCTCCTTCGAGTTGTAAATGGCTAATTTCGTCAACTTGCTGAGATGGCCGATCGCGTCTTCGTCTCCTCCTCCAGGACTAACGAAAGACCAGCTCTATCTCAGGAATTGAGTTCCTCGAAAAAGATGGGAGATATATACGTTGCCAAGGTTCGGTACTGGCAAGGCGAACGCTTCGGCACAGCCTTGCATCTGGATCCTCTCCCATTAGCCAATGCAAAACACTCCCGCGAGATATTTACAAAATTAATCTTCCTCACTAAAAGGCAGGAACATTTATTTGTAGTTTAAATGGAAACATTGAGATCAGCATCAATAGATTAATTGGCAAATAAAAAAATAGTTTAGATATCGAACGTTTTGATGGGGAATGGCAGGTAATATCGGTCTGAGTTATTTGATATTATGATCACTTTGGAATCGTAGGACGATCGTACAATACTGAAGTACAGTTTTTTATGAATATAGGAATACAATTATCATAAAACAATGTACATGGCTCCATCCAGCCATGAGCTGCTATCTGAGAGGCACACTACACTCCCCTTTTCAATTTCTGTATTCCAGTTACTGGATCTCACATCCGTTGCTGTCACTCATTCTACTTGTAACGAATTTGCGTTAGTGTGTAAATCGGAAGTATTCACTCTGTCCGTCCACGAGCGGCGCAGATTTTATCGCACAGGGGCAAGTCACTGTGCGACAGCGCATCGCGCGAAACGCTTATCAGCGAGCCCGGTATTCGCTCGCGATCGATTTCTCATTGCTAAACTTCATATTCGCGAACGAGTAGCAAGAAGGGTTGAATGGAGCCGGCAGGTCAAGACGGAACTGCGTAAGGCGGAGAGGGAGGGGAGAGGCGGAGCACAGACCGAGTCGGCGAGGAGAAGTCGGTTCTTATCGCCGCGCGATGGAGAGTTGCTCCGACGCAGAGCGCAAATTGCGGAGACGCAGCGTCGGAAGGCGGAGGAGAGGAGGAGCAGAGACTGGGTGTTGAAGGGGGAAAGTAGGAAGAAAGAGAATCTTGGCGCGCGACAGGAGAGATGCTCCGCTCGCGCGATCGCAGCCCAAACCATTGCCGCACGGGCCGATTATCTTGCGAGCGAGGCCTGCGTTGCACCTGGACAGGGCGGAATGAGGCGCGGAAGGGCATACGTGGGTCGGGCAGGGGAAGGGGATGAGGCGCGAACTGCTCACGGACAGAGAGAGATGAGGCGTGGAAGGGGAGAGGCAAGAGTGAGGGCAGAGGTCGAGTAAGGCATGGGTAGTGGCGGATGAGGGGACGACGAGAATTACAGCGGGCAGCAGGACAGGGAAATGCGGACAAGGGGTGGCAAGGCAGAAAGGTGCGACCCTATCTCTGCCACGTCATTTATGCACTTTCGGTCATGCATGTTGTGAGTCATGCCATGTCAGTGCGTGGATTTAGCAGTTGCTAGCGGTCAGTTGGTAAGAGACATGTACTTCTCGCATTAGTTCTTGGCATGCAACTTGGTAGCGGCTGCGATTCACGGCCTATCGCTGGGTAGTTGGAAACAGCGGAGCCGAGATCGAGCCAGCCAATGTTAGGGTTACGCCCGGGGTAACTATTGGGTGTTAGAATTATTCACAGAGACCCTGAAATTAGGGTTCTCGGTTTGACTGGCACAGTTGGGGGGCGAAACTGGCGATTGAGGTGCCTTATAAGGAGATTGGAGAGGCACAGTCCAAGCAGACGTGCGCGCTAGTAGTCGATACACATATTCTAGACTTGCGACGAGCTGTTTTGCCGGAATTAGCACATTGCCCCCTTACGTACGTTAGCCCAAAGTTTCTAAAGATCCCCAACGGACCTGCAAAAATGCCCGTGCTACTGCATCCGATAGTTGCTTCCGTTGATTACTGTGCCTGTGTCACATACCTAGATAGTGCTACTCCTCCGGATAGAGCGGCAGCTTACATAAGGCGTTGCGAGGAGGCACTCCATAGATTCACTCCGCACTCCCACACAGATAGGACGCAGGCTGACTGAGAAGGGTTGTTGTATCACCTGCCACCGCCAACCTAGGAATTTCTATGGCATGGCAATGCACACGGCATCAATGCTTCAAACGAGACAAGCGGCAGCAATGGCAGCAGGCAGATGAGATGGCAAAGAGGGAACGGGC